CAGTATGGTTCAAAGAGGTTGTCGAGGAAGAGTAAAAGAATTATTGCAAAGAAATTGAAAGCGAGTTTGAAAATTTAGCTGAAAGATTGGTAAAAATGTATTATAATTATTTTCAGAGCCTCTTTGAACCATACCAACATACTAAAACTTTTTAAGAACGTACGAACGCACACAAAATTCTAATAAAAAAATCCAATTCAATAAGAACTCTTGTCAATATTTAAAAAAAAAAAAATTCCCAATCATCGATATTAGATTTCATGTAAATCATCTCAAAGTTTCTCAAGAATGCCACAGAATTCACTATGGAACACAATGGTCCATTTAACACTGCTACATCCTTACAGATACACTCTACAATGTTCTACCCTTGCTATCCTAACCTAATCTAGCTTCTATCTCTTCCAAACACGAAATTCTAATTAAAAAGACCTTCTCAATAAGAGCTACCACCAACATTAAGAAAAAAAATACTCAATTAGCAATATCAGACCTCGTAAATCATCTGAAATTCCCTCAAAAAAAATACAGCACTTACTATAGAGCACAATGGTCCATTTAACATCGCTACATCGTTACAGATATATACATTTGACAGGGGTTTACTTTTAACATCTCAACTTCCACCTCATTTAGACACCAAATTCCAATAAAAAAGCCCATCTCAATAAAAATACTCAATCACCAATATCAGGCCCAATACGAATTACCTGAATTTCTCTCAAAAACATCATAGAACTCACTGTACCAAAATTAAAAAAAAAAATATTAGACCCAATACGAACCGTCTGAAATTCCCTGAAACACACATCGTACAACTAACTACAGAACACAATAACGTTGGCACACTGTTGCAGATACACTCGACAGGGGTTTATTAAAGGCTGGCAACTGGATACCAATTTTCCTGACAGTGGTGGTGTGTGGCACGTTCGCCTGTAGCGTGATTGCCGTCTTCATTATCTACCGCTTCATCGTCGAGGAGGTTCTCGATGGGAATCCAGCTCTAACGATCGTTCTGATACTGGCAAACGTGTTCACCCTGCAAACGGTGTTTCCGTTTTGCATCAACGACGACTATTTGGGCTCGGAATCGCTCAACTCGAGGAAGATACTCGTGACAACGCTCGCGTTTGGTTTGGATTTCTCTGTGATGCTGTCGAGGGCGTTCTTCTTGGTGTTCTCCAAGGGTGGCGTATTCACTGCACACATAAACGGCTATCTTCAAGGACTGATGGTGTTCTTCATGTTCAGCGTGCAGCTCGCCATATCTGTCATGTTCTACGTACTCAGCACCGATGACTCGGCTGTCGTCGTCAGGAGCCTAATTTTCATCGCTCTTCTAGGTGAATTATGCTATCTTTTTCTTATTGCAAATTTAAATTTTTCTTACTGTCACGAGAGGCCTAATATTTTATAACGTACCATTCGAACTCATTCTCCACCGCGATATCTTCTTTTCTACCTTTCCGCTATTACAGAATGCCCCTTTCTCCTACCTTATCCATGGAAATAACTTTTTCGTACATTTTTATCAGAACATCCTTTTTCATCTCTCCACGAAAATACACGGTTTCACGCGTTTCCACTAAAATACCTTCCTTCGTCACTTTTTTTATACTTCTTTACCACATGTACAGAGCGTGATCCGTCGTAAACGGAATTTCTCCGTGATCCCTGCAACGTGGAAAGTGAAGAAGGAAGCCACCGGTCTCCCCCATCCCATCCTGCTTCATTTCCAATAAAACCACCGTCGTTACATTATATTTATCGCGATCCCTCTAGAAACTCATCATTTCCACAACGTGTCCCCGTAGTATCCTCCATAAAACTCCTGATAATTTATTTAAAATTTCTTACCTTAAGGCTGTCGTATTAATTTTATACGGCGAAGCTTGTGATACAATAGGAAACGATTTTCTTTCTTTTTGTTTTTTGGGAAATTACTTATCTCAGTTTTCGCGTTATTTTGAAATAATTATTCGCTTTTTAATCGGATTAGAGAGAGTGTAATACTGAAGATATTAAGAAAATGAGGGAATATTAAATTAATAGTAATTTTATATTAGAAATAACTGGATCTGTTTAAGTGAGCTGTATCATATTGAAGATATTAAGAAAACTGATGTTTAGTATTAATGGAAATTGGTTCTTTAACCACAGTACGGTCCTTGGGTCTTTTTTGACCCAATGGCTTTTTATCTTTTTAATCATTTTTGCTGTTATCAAGTCTGTGTTCATTTGAGCTCGCATTAAAAGTTTCGGTCTTTTTTGATTTAAACGTACAGTCGAACGAAGAAACGCTCTAGAGTTAACATTCATAAATGTGAATCGTTATTAATATTTCAATTTCGTTCTCATTTAGTTCTCAATTGTTTTAATTTTTCATATTTGAAAATATGACGCTTCTAATCTTTAATTTCCGACTTTCAAACTCGCAAATATAAATTACTATTCATCTCATATTTGAAAATATAATATTTCCAATATTTAATTTCCGACTTTTAAATTCGCAAACATAAATTACTATTAATTTCATATTTGAAAATATAATATTTCCAATATTTAATTTCCGACTTTTAAATTCGCAAACATAAATTACTATTAATTTCATATTTGAAAATATAACGTTTCCAATCTTTAAATTCGCAAACATAAATTACTATTAATTTCATATTTGAAAATATAACGCTTCCAATCTTTAAATTCGCAAATATAAATAATTATTAATTTCATATCTGAAACTATAACGTTTCCACTATTTAATTTCCGACTTTTAAATTCGCAAACATAAATTACTATTAATTTCATATTTGAAAATATAACGCTTCCAATCTTTAAATTCGCAAATATAAATAATTATTAATTTCATATCTGAAACTATAACGTTTCCACTATTTAATTTCCGACTTTTAAATTCGCAAACATAAATTACTATTAATTTCATATTTGAAAATATAACGTTTCCAATCTTTAAATTCGCAAATATAATTTGAAAACATAAATTATTATTAATTTCATATTTGAAAATATAACGTTTCCAATCTTTAAATTCGCAAATATAAATAATCATTAATTTCATAACTGAAAATATAACGTTTCCAATCTTTAAATTTGCAAATATAAATAATCATTAATTTCATATCTGAAATTTCCAATCTTTAAATTCCTACTTCTAAAACTGACTTAAATTTAATTAAAAAAAAAAAAAAAAACACTGTTCCAGGGTACGATATATTTTTATTAGTCAGCCTGTTCGTCGTGTGTTTCTTCATTTCTCAACTACCGCGCAATTATCGCGAAGGGAAATGCTTCTTCGGCACGTCGATCGGTTTGTTGATCGTTTGGGCAATATGGCTCACCTGTTTCATCCTCGTGGAACCAGAATGTCGAGATATGGTCGTGTGCTTTGGAATTATATCCACCGCTTATCTCATCATAATTGGAGTTTTAATACCGAGGACTTATTACATGGTCAAACATCTTGCCAGAGGAAAAGATTCTGCACCGAGATTTGGATCGACCGATCTAGCAGCTGATCCTAGGATCAATACGATCACCAGGCAGGTCAGAATCATCCGCCATATTGCTTTCGATTGCTCCGTTGTTTCTTAGATTTTGTTGTAGTTGTTCTTAGTAGTTCATCTTCTTCTTTTTTTTGCTTGTATTTTTCAAGTATTATTGTTCTTGGTTTTTGTAGAAATTATTGATTTTTTCGTAATTTTTGTTATTTATCATGGCTCTGTTTTATGTGTGCGTCGAATAAAGACTTTTATTGATTGTACGAATGGTGTTACTTTTTTTTTCTGTGTGATATTGCAAAATGCAAGGTTGTTCCTTGATATTCCTTTGAGTTTTTTTTTTTTGTTGTTTTTAAGAGTGACATTTGTGATTCTGTATTTCTGGTGAAGATTTCGTAATTGTCGATACGAAACGCGTAAAATTTGTGGGGAATGCAAGGTTGAGTTTTTGTGAATCCCTGGAGATCACGAGGAGAAGGTTATTTTTGCGGAGTAGAATACTCTGACGATCAGTATGAAAAATAGTATTCAATTTTGGGAAATCTCCGGAGAGTTGTTTTTCTCAGCAAAAAGAAATTGCTAAAATTTTCCGACGAACCATACGAAAAATAATATTCAATTTTTCCTAAGTCCTTAGAGATTGATTGTTCTCAAGAAAAAGAAATTGCCAAAAATTTTCTGACGATCCATATAAAAAACAATATTTAATTTTAGTAAATCCTTGCAGAATTACTTTTCTGAATAAAATATTGTCACGAATTCTCTGACGATCTATATAAAAAATGATATTCAATCATTTTCATATTCAATTCATTTCATTTCGCGTTCAAACCTCTAGAAAATAAAATAAAATACTGTCCTCAACTAAGAAAAAAATCCCACAAAATTTCCCATCAACATTCCACCCCAACAATTAATTCCTTAATTGCCCCAATAGTTAACAGTTAACAGTCCAATAGTTGCTCCAATAATTCATTCCCCCACGATAAAAGAAAAGAAAAGAATAGAAAAATGAAGGTTTGCATGAGAAACGTTTCGTTTGCACAGAGTCGTCCATTTTACGATTACGTGCACTCCGGCGCCGGAAGTACGACGAATTTGCAGGTGACACCGACGTTCCCGAACTACTACGGCAGCTCGAGTCCAAATCAGAAATATCTTGGCCAGAGCAGAAGCACCGACACACGCAGAATTCCAGGATACAATAACTACGGATACCATTCGGAGATGCGAGAAGTGAATAACTCTTACACAATACCGCAAGTCTGCATCGAGGATGCGGACGTGAGATTTTTTCCATTTTTCAAACGTGTTTTTCCCTGTTTTTTTGTTTCTTTTTGCATAGAATAGTCGGTACAGATTTGTGCTTTTACGTGTGGACAAAATTGTAACTGGAAATTGAAGTTGGAATATTGGAGAAAGTAAGGTGTGAAGTTTGAAAAAAGGTATTTACACTCTGTCCAATTTAAGAATAACCTCGCTTCATGCATGGGACGTGCCTAAGGCAGGACTAGAACGTCCAAACTCCCACTTAACCGCCTACGTTTTTCTCCGTCTTACCACGCTCTCTGTCTATGCGCAGAACGGACGAGAATCGGTCCGAGATCGAGGTTACTCTCATTTTGAACGATGCATAGAACGTCCAAACCCCCACTTAACCGCCTACGTTTTTCTCCGTCTCACCCTCTGCTACGCTCTCTGTCTAACTGCGGGAACTGCGCAGAACGGACGAAAATCGGTCTGAGAGCGAGGTTACTCTTAAACTGAACAGAGTATAACCGTTTTCATAACAATGGCGCCATTACAGCGACACGCGTAACTACTTTGGAGAACTTTAAAAAGTAAACTTCAGGTTTTGTCTAACTGCGGGAACTGCGCAGAACGGACGAAAATCGGTCCGAGAGCGAGGTTACTCTTAAACTGAACAGAGTATAACCGTTTTCACTCCAATGGCGCCATTACAGCGACACGCGTAACTACTTTGGAGAACTTTAAAAAGTAAAATTCAGGTTATTCTATATTATTGAAACAATGGAAATTGAAATGAGAAATAGAAATAAATAAATTCACAAACAAAAATATTGACTTTCTAAAATGAAACAGGGTTTTCGAAAATTTCACTGCAAAAGTATACCCGAGTTGCTGATTAATTCTATTAACAAATGCTTGGAGTACAAAGGGTTAATCGATAGTGAAGAATTGATTTAATTTTACAAGGAATTTTGAGAAGAACACTTAGATTTTGTTAGAGTATTCAAGAAAATTTGTTTTTTTTTTTAAACTTTAAATCCTGAGAAGGATTTAAAATTTTCCTTGATCTTCACTAATAAAAATCTGTAATGAAAAATCTTCGGTAGTGAGTTGAAATAGAAATTTCTACCGTTAATCTTAGAAATTATTTTTTAAATTCTGTGAAATATTAAGGGAATTATTTTTTCCTTGAAACTCTGAATCCCTAGGAAATTTGAAAATTTCCTAATCCTCCAATTTCTCTTTCTTCGTTCCTCACAATGTATTATAAGTCCAAAATAAAAAATTCTCAGTAATGTAGTAAAACGGAAACTCCTTCATAAAGTTTAGAAACTATCTTTCAAATTCTGTGAAAAATTATGAAAATTATCTTACCTGAGTAATTAAAAAATTAAAAAATTTCTTCACAAATCCGAAAAATTCTTATTCCATGAAAACTAGAAGACACCTCAGTAACACCATAACGCACAACCTTCGTTAAGAATTAAGGGAATTACGTTTGCAGTTAAGGGCCAACTCCGCGGAGAGGAGCCACGCAAGTTCGACTTACGCGCGATCCAAGAGCCACCGGAAACGGAGGCCCAAGATCGAAAAAGATTGCATCGAGACCGACGTGTACGTCGAGGGCAACATTCCCAGCATACGTAGGGCACACGACGAGATTTATCCAGAGAGATGTAGCAGCCCTAAGCTAACTCAAACCGAAGCAACAATACGCGAAGAGGAGGAAGACGACGCCACTAGGATCACTCGATTTTAACATTCTTCACCTCTTCGCAAATTATATTCTATTCGTTCGTTCGCTAGTAAAGTGACGTTGCAATGCTGTTCAAGATTGTCGAGTATTATTGGGAACGAGAAGAGTGAATTTATTTTTCGATTCAACGGTGTTCGTGTTTGTAGCTACGACTTGGAAGATGAAATAAACTTTTCGATTGGAAGATAATTATTACTGAGGCTGTTTTTTTTTGCGTGGGGGAAATCCTCATGGACACCCCGCCCCGTGGGGTAGTCCCGAACTCGTACCGGCTAAAACCCCCACCGTGGTCCCTCCTCGGCGTTGCGGGGTGTGCCCGGGATCACGAAGAGAACGCCATCGGACCCACCCCCACGCCTGGCCCCTCCCTCAAGATGTTCGCGGAGGGAGGGGCGCCATCTCGGAGGAGGTCAGCCAGACTCCCTCTCCACCACTGAGGCGTCGCCGGAACCACACCGGCGCCGCCCCCACCGCGGGCCGCGTGCAATGGGCTGCCGGGTCCCCCGCCCCTCAGCCCTGCGGCCCAATTATTATTGAGGTAGAATTTTTATTGGAAATTTTTCGTTATTTATGCCTTGCAAAAATTGTCGATACGTCATTTGCTTGGTTTACGGTAAATGTATATTATTTATAGAAAAATAATAATTGTATCGTGCCTCTTTTTTGTTCAGTAATTGTCTAATTGATATGTTATACATTTTGAATTTTCACTTTGCATCGTTTATCGATTCAACAACCACTGTGTCAAATTATTGTCACAGATATTAATTCTGTGCCATTTTTCAAAAAGTCTCGAAGACTTTGTCAACTCAAAATCGCCATACTTTTTTCAGAGAGGGAATTCTTCAGCAGTCCAATAAATGGAAGAAAGTCCTTCAAAATAATGGAGACAATTTTGAACCTTAAAATTGTGTTTAATTTTTTGTAAATTGATATTTGAATTTTTTAAAAAAGGCATCGAATTAATTTCTACACCTAATAAATTATCTACATGCTATAAAATGTATGACAGAAATCTACACTAAATGGTCTACCAATATTTCACAGATTTACAATTAACAGCAAAGAGATTAATAAAACAATTTTATTTTCATAGATTTTAGTAATAAAAAAAAAACGCATTAAAAAGAACTATCGTTACACGTACTATTACAACGGTGTGAAACTTTTTTATCGCTCTATATTTTCCCCTTTCCGTTTAACAATGTCCCGATTGATAGAAATTTTCAATGGTTATTTGATCAAGTTTCACGGTGAAACAGAAGCCAGCTTGTCCGCCATTATGGTGCGTAATTAAAGTACAAAACGAGGCGAGGACGAGCGTAGTCCCTTTTGCGCGCGTTAAAGGACCAGCGTGAGCCAGAGAAGCAATTTCGCGTGTTCCCTGTCGAAATTGCATTATGGTCGATCGTAATTCCGCAATCGGGGCACAGGTGTATGGGCGCCGGAGGAATATCGATGACAGTGCCGTAACCGGAAGTCCGTCGTGTGCGGCAACTCGTCGCGAGTCAACGTACCACTCGAATTTTTTCGGCAAAATTTAGGGGAACGAATTGTTCTTAATCGTCCACATTTATTACGTTTCCAAAGGAACTCAGAATTGAGAAATTTGAAAATTGGAGTAATTTCAGAAATGGAAAGTTCGCAACTTGAAATTCTGGTAATTCTACGTTTTCTGATTTTCCAAATTTTCCAAAAATCAATTGACTTCAACATTGAGGGTTCTAAGAGAGTCCAGAGGGATTGTTTTGGTCGGTCTGCCATCAGCGTTCGAAGCGGAGGATCGAGAGTATCGTCAAGAGCATCGTCGGATACGAAGTGATTGATTCGTACTACTGAATTTCCTAAAATTCCGCGAAGGTAATTAGTAGTAACGCTCGATCATTTCTCAGGCAACAAATTTCAATGGTTGACTTTTCCGATTAGCTTGGAGCCAAAATTAAGTAGTAAAGTCAACCGTATCTCAGACATCGAATTTATATTCAAGCGAGTAGTGCAAGTCAACCGTTTCTCAGACGATCGAAAGTTCTCTCGGAATCGGCGAGTAGTGCAAGTCAACCATTTCTCAGACGTTCCAAAATTCTCCAAGACCGAAAACAGCGTCGAGAATGTAGCAAAGCAGCTTTATTCACTAATTTATCAATCTACTAAAGTTTCTGTTTCACTTCCAAGCACTTTCATTGAAGAACAATTACTGTTTCTTGTTAAACAACAATTTAAATTCGTGTTTTAATCAGAGAACGAGCTTTCGAACCACCACAGAAATCAAGGCGAAGACTTCAACGTCAACAAAAATGAAGGAACGCGATTATTTATCAAAAAACTCGATCATTAACTGTAAGATCACCGTACAAAACGTAATTTTACAAAAGTATTACTACTCATTTCTCTCCTACACACCACACTTACTTCCCTTTCCGAAACACTCGTTCTTCAAACAACATTCCAACGCAAACTTAAATAAAAAACAAATGACACCAATAATCAACATAAGCCCAAGAAACCCCAAAACACCCTGAAACTTAACATCACGAGATCCCCCACCCTTGAAGCAAAATCTGAAAGATGGATATTAAAAAGGAACAGTATCCAGGGAAATGTTAAAAAATTAGGACAGAGAAGGAGGCGAGGTAAATTCGCCCCGAGGCGAAGTGAAGAAAGGAGGCTCTCCAGGCAAGGTCCTCGCCGTCAGAGAAAGGGGACGTCGCAACGGTGGCGTTTTACTTCCGCGCCATGTGGTGACCGCGCGTGAAAAATAATGAAAGCCCGGCGGTGGCCTGGCGGTGCTCGATAAGCGACCGTAACGATAGGCGATAAATCGAAAAGTGCATCGACTCGTGAAAACAGGGGGGCCTGACGAGAAGACGAGCACCTCTTCGAACAGTGGGTTTTCTGAAAAAGCTTCTGCGCAAGGACCAAAGCCAGGACCGCTATAAAAGCACGATCGGGACTGGTTCGCTTTCCAGTCACGTATACAGCCGAGTTTCTCTCTTCGAAGGAATCCTTCGAAGTCACATCCTCCGTGAGATACAGTTACTCGAACAAAATATTCGGACAACGTGTAAGCTTGCCCAAAACGACCACGTATTTTGGTTAATTATTGGAAAATTTGGGTTTGGTACTTTCTCGCCGTGAAACATCATTTATCGTAGCTTACCTAATTTTAGTCCAATTATGTCCAATTTCGTATTATTCGTATTCGCAATAATTTGAACATTTCTGGGGAGTAACTGTAGTTTAAGAATCTGTCGTTGAGATTTTGATCCTTTTGGAAGAAGAAGATTGTTCAGAAATCGAGATTTTCGTCCTTTCGGAAGAAGAAGATTATTTAGAAATCGACATTTCGATCATATTGGAAGAAGAAGAGAAGATTCGTGGATCGACGAAGAGGATAGTATGTAAGAAGAGTCGATTCGAAGAAGATTAGCATGTCATTGGAAGCTTGGAGTGCAAGTAATCGAGTGCTTCAGGGATTTGGCTCGTTGAGAATTCGTATTAACGTGGAGGAAGATGATGTGGACAGGAAGGAACTCCAGGGCCATTGTGGTTGCTGTGGTCTACCTCAGCTTGTTTCTGGACAACGTGCTGCTCACAGTTGTTGGTAAATTGTTCATTTATTCATTTTCCATCTCTATTATATGTAGAAAAAGAAATAGCACAGAGAATAGAATGATATATCTACACCTCCAAGTGAGAAGAAAGAAGTCAGTTGAAAGAAGAAATAAAAAACAATCATTAATATTATAGATACAATCTGTTTTTCAAAAAAGACACCCAAAAGACTTGATACTCTGAACTAGTACAAAAT